GTACGGGGTGGGTGCGACGGGGGGCCGGAACCGGAGGTGGGATGGCGGCCTGAATCCAGTGCTTACAAGGAGGTTTATCGAGGGTGGGAATAATTTAGCGGAAACAGTATTTGGAGTAGTGGGATTCTAGAAAGGAGAGGGGAGATAAGAGTCACAGTTGGGGCAAAGTTGAATTTTCGTTCAAAGTTAAAAAAAATAGTCATTTCCCTTGGGGTGTTTTTTCTGAAGAAGTCTCCAAAGAACATAAGAAACGTGTTCAGCCATGAAAACCGGTATAGCAGAGTGGCCAAGCAATAAACCTCCTTCCGCGCACAGCCCATTATGTCCAACACCTAGTGCTGTTTCCCGGAGGAACTATTGCTACTGCTACAAGAACGAGTACCCAAACCGAAGGTAATCGAAAACTATATTCACTAGGGGGCTAGATATGGCCGAAAATGTGTAATTAGGATGGTTCCTGAGGACGCTATGGGTGAGCTCCCAAGGCTATTGCAGTCTTGGGATATCACTCGGTATAAATCCTTTAGCTGTTCAATACATGGACCTAAAATAAACGTCCTTACTCGAAGCCAGGAGATTAATTATCGGTTTTCCCGTGACTCCTTTTCATACAGAATTAGCTACAAACATGAATTTTTGTCCATCCTGATAAGTGGGAAATTCACTCCGGCCCTGTATATATCTTGTTAGCCCACAGCCAGTTTCCTGATTTTGAGCTTTGTGACCGTCACCAAAGGGGTCTAGTAGGTTTTATTTTATCCTAACACTAGCGATATGGAATACGGCTAGCATCCTCCAAACCCACCAAATTATTTTATAGTTACTTACAAACCTAAGTAAAATTCCCGCTTTACTGAATTGACATCCAATCTATACAAGAAACCTTTGGCCATTCCCGAGACTGTAAATTATGGTTCGGGACGGCATATGGTTCACACTACCCAAGCCTTCCAACCCGGTAAAGTGACTACAAGGGTGCTGTCAGTCGATCAATGGGAAGCAGCAGTCTGGCGGTAGGGAGGCGGTCGGAAATTACACTGGAGCAAAATCAACTTTAACCGACCCTACCCGACTATGGGTGGGCTGTGGGCACGACCAATCACCCAATCAGGGTTTACCAATTCCGTCGAGCATTCGAGAATGGGTCCTCTGGATTAGATCATGCTAGAGAAAAATCACCATGATCTGCTGGATCATGCTCGTACCCATCACTATTCGCTGAGTTCAGATAATGCACAAGGTTGGCCTACTGAAAAGATAAGTGAATAGTACTGTTGCGTGAGCGATAGAGTTGAGTAGTCGGGAGAGAGGATTAAATTATACAGAAGGTACATTCAATAGAGAGGAAATAGAAAGTCAAAAACAAGAACTAAAGCTTGCATATTTCTGCCACTGAATATCCCCAACTTGGATCTACCATATCTACATACTATTTCTCGAAGATGTGATTCTGTTCGCATTCCATGTTCCCCCAAAATAGAGGCAATTCTTGATAGGTGGCGTAGATCATATGGGGTGGATCCTGTGCACCCATGAGTCTTAAAGCTGCTAGCTAAGGACTAAGCTCAACTTCATGCCCCCCCCCCGAGGCCCACAGAATCCCGAGATGCAATGTCTTCGGTCATATGTACAAGTGCCAACCTCCCAATTTATTGTATCATTTAAGCCAGCAATAACATGCTCTGCCTTTGGATTAGTAAATACTTTGTTAGTGTGTGGCAGACATATTCAGATGCGCGCTTGTATCTGAGGATATCTGAAGGTGCCCGCAGATACCCGAATATGCCTGAAGTTATATATAGATATTCGTTGATATCTGAAGATATCTGAAGATATCTGCAGTCGGCTCAGCTCCGGGATATGCAAATTGAAATCAAAAAAGTAATATTCCCACGTTCCCAGCTCTGAGAGCAGTGCAGATGCAGAGAGATTTCCTATACTCAATATATTCCTGAAGTGCGCGTATATCACATGTGAGCAAATATCATTTGGTTATGATTTCATGCTATTTTCCCTACCACATCAGTATCAGTACAACTGTAAAATACCTAACTATTTTTGTTATAGCCCCGCCTCCACTATATCCTTCTCCTAGTACCCTTCACCTTCATGACTCTGCATAGAAAACCATTTCCTCTCTTCTTGATTGCGATTTTCAAGTTGGATATAACTATTTAGACAAGAATGTGATACTATAGTGCATGGGGATCTACACTAGGTGGTGCGCAAAGCGGTCATTCGACTACTATGATATATGTAATGGCGGTGAAGATAGAAATATCACATGTGGGCACAGAGGCTGCCGACGCATACTCACTCAATTGATACCAATTTATACAAATACTCTGAAAGCTCACCAGAATTATAGCGGTGGCATCGGATTGCTCGGAAGCCTGCAGATATATGAAGTCCGGCCAGGTCGGGTTTCGGAAAAGCCCAGGCCGGCCCGGTTATGCTCAAGCGGGGCCGGACTGGCCGCTTGCGAACACTGGTGTATTCTAGTGCTTTAGATATCCAATAGTATCTAAAAATGACACAATTGATAACTAACAGATATCCAGATTTAGGGCAGGGAGATAGCAGTAGGATGGGTTGGAAGCACCTCCTTAGGCCACGCATGCCAAACAAATCAACCACGAATTGAAACCAAAGTCATATCCGCTCCATTCCATCCCCAAAGTAATATATCTAATTCGCCAGCCAAACCTTCTAATATAATAGAAGACTATTCAAACGAACGCTTCAGTTGATGTAAATAAAGACCAACTCGTAGTGATTATATATCAGTTATCAGGTATTTGATTTCTGGGAGTTGAAATTGAAAAGAAAGAAAGAAATGGCCAATCAAGGTTTGATCTCACAGAATGTGATTCCCCTCAGCCCAAGCTCTAGAGGTCCTCCTCTGATTTCTGACCTTTTCTCCTTCTCAATCTTATCTCCCAGCCTTTTTTTACTATTTATCTAATATCTCGAAATTCTACGTACGGAACACCTCTACATTCAAATATAAAGCTATGTTCTTGCCCTGAATAAAACCCCCCCGCAGTCTGCCGAGCATTTCATATTCTATCTCACCGGCCTCGTCAGGCTTTCCACTGTGGCTAAGCTCCAGCCGAGAGCTGGCTCGGCTCCAGTCAAGCTTGTGCTAGTTCAACTCCAGTTGAGAGCGTCCTCTAGTTCCAATGTATCAACATTCGTTTCTCTCCCAGCATGCTTTTTCTGCACCAACATTCTTTCTACCCCACAAATATCCACCCTATCGTCATGTCCTCCATTTTCTTCTCAGTTGCTGCCATCTTGGCTTTCGTCCTCTCCGCTATTAATACCGGGGCGATTGATTCCCTTTTGCTCCACAGCCCGAACAACCTGCCCATCACGGATTGCAACTCAGCCTGTGTCCTAATCACCCTTCCCAATGAGTCTGGCTATTCGATATTCTCCAAGCTCTGTAGAGCTGCTGTCCCGGATGAGTCATGCATCAATTCTGGACAACTGGAGATGAGAGTGAAGCTTTCGGGCTCCGGCTCCTACGACACTATCATCAAATGTCTGTGTGGCCCTGATGGAGAGTGGCAGGAAACAATGAGATTAGAAGTCCCAACTGAAGGTGTGTTTATCCCTATTTTCCTATCCCCACAATCCAGAATGTAAACCTCAGTGTGCAACCATTAGCTAACAAATCCCAACTAGAAACCACCCAGTATAACCATTCACAAAAACCCACATCTACCCTACAACAAGCACAAACAGCCACCTCTGTCCCACGCAAGACCTCCGAGGATACAAAACCTAATGGTAAGTCCCCAATGTGACCCTCTCACAGATAAACCGCCAAAAGCAGAGCCCACAAAATACAGTTTTCCCAAAGAAGAGGCTAATCTAGAGAGCGTTTTCGGGAAGCAGGTACCACTACTAGCGCCTATCCGGCTGGGAAGTTTTTCCTAACACCTGCCGCGGCTGCTGGAATTTCTATCGCGTCACTGGTAACATTTGCGGTCTTAGTTGGGATAGGCCTGCTCGCATGGAGAAGGAAGGTAAAGAGACGGGATATCGAACCGGACTTTGACAGCGTTTGGGATGGCCAGCAGTTTCCAAGGAATGTTGCTGTGATAGGGAAGCGGTTTAGGTAGACTTATATTTGATAATCGTCTCTAATATATTTCTACTTTCAACTATTTTCTCCGCACCCTTCTCTTTTTCCTTGGATTGATGCCCGATGATTTTAGTCGAGTCAGCGACCAATAGATACGAATTTACGATTGCTGCACGTACAGTACTACTTGTACTTGTACATTGTGCTGCACTATTACTCACTCGGAACCTCATCTATAATTAAAGCGTGTTGGCTATCATACCATTTGAACTGCACAGTAATCATACCAAAACCTCTGGATAGTGTCCACACACCGATATCTAGCATCGCTGCGTGAGATGCATATTTTGCCTACGAGTAACTTTTGACTAGTTTTGTTGACAGCTTTTGTAACGCTACCATTATGTCCTTAGCCCACATATATTGGCCCCTATGGAACTTTGAAGCACCGGAGCTATTATCTATCAGGAAAATTCCTAAACGTCTTAGCGGAGTAGCCTGCCGCAGCACTTACCAATTCAAAGAGTGTGGGTTGTTGTAAAACCGCATAAAACCCTCAAGTGCTACCAAAAGCAGGAAACCGTGCTTCGCGTTTTTTCCTAGAAATAAGAATGACGTTCCTCTGGCTTACTGCCATTTTCTTCCTCGTGGTAGGCATTGTTCAACTTTGAATGCGGTTGCGGTCGCACCTGGAGGTTTAGGGACAGACATCCACACCTCCCGTAGAATTCCCTGCGCCTTTCACTGGTAACTGGTAACACTGGTAACACTGGTAACACTGATGTCCCATCATCCACCATCGCTTACGCCGTATCACATGCGTGCAAGGTTAGGGTTAATTCCCAAAAATTACATCAATAAGCCCCCTCCCACGCCGCACAGGCAAAACTATGAATCCCACGCAAACCCGACACCCCCGCTCACATTAAGAAGAAAGCCTGCCAATGTCCTCAATGCAATCGTCGTCGATGGCCCCGCATCCACCCAAGGTTGTGATAATTTTGGCAGACGAGGGCCAAGACCCTACAGAGGTCGCAATCCCATGGAAAAAATTCAGGGATAGTGGCTGGGAGATAACATTCGCGACGGAAAATGGGAAGGTAGCGAAGGCAGATGAGAGATTGTTATCCAATGGACTATTCGCCACCTTTTTGGTGAGTTGGGATTACTGTCTCCTCATGAATGCCGTCCCATTACCTTAGTGCTGAAAATGTGATCTCTTTTAACTTTTAGGGCGCAAGCAAAGCAGCTGCCGCGGCTTATCGCGATATGGTCGAGAGCGAGGCACACAAGAATCCCTTGGCGTGGTCGATGCAGGGATTTAGTTTGGTTCCTTACGGTACGGCGAAACCACCAAGTGAAGAAGGTTGGTCCAATGTATAACGGACTGACTAAGTAATGTCCAGATGCTGTTCTCCTACCTGGAGGCCATGATAAGCCAATAAGGCAATACCTGGACTCCGAGTCTTTGCATCTTCTCTTGAGGGAATACTGGCCATTAGTTAAAAGATCTGGAGATGCAATCACGAGCGATGGTTTGTTACACGAAAACCAAATTACCTTGGTATAATTCACAAGTATGATACTAATTTAGTGGGGATCCAGAACCCTCAAGAGTTGTCGGGGCCATTTGCCATGGCGTAGTAGCCTTATCAAATGCTACCCACCCGCCAGCATCCGGATCTACAGACCCCAAGGGGCCAAGTCTACTCCATGATGTTGAAACATCCACTTTGCCCTACTGGATGGAACAAGTTGCCTGGGTCGCATCCCAGGCATGGTTCCTTGGTGGCTATTACAAGACCTATGGAGCAAGTAGATCCTGCGCTTCCGATGTGAGCTTCTACAGAACCACCTGAATACCCGCAGCGTCCTGATTAACCAACTGCAATCTTTGTTGGAGGTTTCGAAAGTGCTCGATAACAAAAAACAGCAGTACAAATGTGGTCCATTGAGCCAATCGTTAGTTGTCCTGCTAAACTCTTCAATAAGTATACCCCCATTGCTAACGATTAAATTCCACAAGACCATTCGCCCACGTTGACCCCAACTACCACTATATATCCGCCAGATTTCCCCGGGATTCTTGGCTTTTCGCGGAAAAGATGGTGGACGAAGTTCAGCAATGCCGGAGCAACTCGAACAATCAACTCTAGCACGTCTATTATAACTATTACAACTATTACATAACCCATGAAAATGAAAATGAAGCAATCCAAACAGTGCACCTCTCATATACCCCACACTCGGACAATTTCTACAAAGACAGCGACTTAAGAATCTTGAGGACTTTATAAATTTCTACCATTAGTAAACCTTGCATTAGGAAACTTTCTACCCAAGCGTCTCGCTAACCCTGCCGCCCCAGATGGCAGCGACCTCTTTTCCTTCTTCTCCTTACCTCCAGACACCCACTTCTTCAACCCTTTCCATTTCCATACCGTAAACCTCTTTTCCCCATGTCGATAAGTATTCCCGAATCCGGGGACCCTGGTGCGCAACTTACCCACTTCCTTGATTTCAGCCCTACACAGATGGCAAGGAAAGGATCTCGGGCCGGGATTGAACACAGTCACCCTAGACCTCCAGAGCGCCTTCGCGCACGGAGCGCACAGAGCATGCGAGCACTCCCGGAACTGCACACTTATTTTCCTACGAAAACAAATCCCGCACTCAAGCCCCTCCGCTAGGGGGTATCTGTAAGTACTCACATGGGTGATGGAGCTCATATCATCGTCATCGCTCTCGCCATCGTAATACCCACCAATCACGCCTTCACCCACCGCGAAATCCCTCCTATCAAAGCGCCCAACAAACCCACCATCACCATCATCACTCGATTCTTCATCTCCCTCCTCCTCCTCCTCCTCCTCCATACCCCTCCCATCGAAAAATAAATCCCTAAAAAACGCACCCGGCCCCCTCGCGCCCAACCTCGCCCGGTAAATCCCCCCTTCAACAATATGCGCTATGCCCAAGGCCCTACCGAACACTAGGGCGTCTTCCCAGCTCCGCAGATACTCCGGCGATTCGTCGCTTTCTACGTGAGGTGCTGGATTGATCCGTATGCGATAGGGTCGAAGCGTCGCGGGATTGCTACTGGATAGGATATTACGTGCGCTGGAATGTTCGACAGGGATAGATCGGAATCTGCTTGTTGGGGTTCCTGCGGGTGCAGTGGCCGATATTGTGGGTATTGGGCTGTTTAAGCGGCCGCGGTGATGGAGGTGGTAGCCATTAGGTGTTAGTGGATCGGGAGTTGGTGGGCGATGAATGTAGTTAATTGTTGGGATGGCTGTTCGAGGCATTGATCTTACAGCACAAGTAAATCTATAATCCGATATTGTAGTGGTGGCAGTCGCGGTGAGAGCAGCGGGTAGGTTAGTAAGAGCTGTACTGTACTGTATCTGTTGGAAGAATCAGGCGTTATGGGATATAATGTTCGGTGAACCACAGCTCCCACGGAGAGAGGTTGCATTTATAAGAGTTATTATAATAACTTTATTCTTTCAAGATGAACGAGCTACAGTACTAGTACATTGTCATGATGCACAAGAAACATTCACACAAGTCACTAGCCACAACATCCCCAATGAATGTTCTAAGAATTTTCCGAAACACAAAACAAAGAAACCACACTTTCACCGACAAATTTCGAAAACCCACCACCAACCACCACCACCACCACAATCACCACCACAATCACCAGAGCAACTGTGAGGAAAAGAAAAAATTCCCCATTGTGTTCCCCGACCCGGCACCTCTTAGCCTCAACCCATCCCAATATATCTATATATATATATATATTATGATATGCACCGTACTCTCTCACCCTCCCCTCCCCCACATTGCCCCCACCCCAAACCCCCAACCTTTAATCCGCCGATAAAGGTTGTGCCCGGCACCAATGCAAATCTTGGCTCTAACTTGCTTTCTTTTTCCCACCACCGCGGTTACCCAAATACGTGACTTAATTTACTTGGATCCAGTGACTATCTATCATGCAACATCACTCGCTGCCACGTTTTTGCCAGCTAATACTAAACCAGTTCCACATAATATCATGCCCGAGAAGATCGAATATGCGCGTAAGCCCGGAAGGACAGGTGTAATTTCATTTCATTTCATTTCTCTTAGCGAGTATCCGGGATGAGGGGTGTTAGGTTGCCATACCGGCAGATCTTGCACGGAGGAAAGGGGGGGGTGGATGGGTGGGTTGGGGGCTCTTTACCATGGTCTGTAATTGCCGGGTGCCGGCCGGTTGTGGTGTTTGCGTACCGTATTGGTGGGAGTGCAAAGTGCATATATTCCAGGACTGAGGAACATGATGTGGTATATAGCGGTGTGGTGCTCAGTGTGAAGGTTGCGGTGAGGGGCGAGTGGAAGCCTGCCCCCTCGCCCGGCCTGGGTTGCCGGGGGAGGAGGAAAAGTGAGGAGAGAACTGACAGATCCGAAACCCAAAACTGCACGGATGAAGTGGTCATTCCCGTAGAGATACGGCACCGATCCTCTTACCGGCGAGGTCTAAATTGGGGGTGGATGGAGTGGGGGGATATCTAATCTACCCTCTTCCGGTCCAACCTCTCCCTCCGCTCAGACTATTACTAGCCTTTTCTCCACATGTGAGACTCTACCATCCATCCATTCTTCTCCAGTGATGTTGTCATTATCGCAACCGCACCAATTTACCAACAAGTTGGTATGATAAGCACCATCTAGACGTGAGTAATCAAGCCTCTTACCATCTAACCAGCTAATAGGTAAGTAGCCTATCATGTGAATCATTCTCATACTTCCAGCCTTTATTCCCTCCAATTCGTCAAAACACGGTTGAACGCCATCCTATCCCATCAAACCAGACCAGAGACCAGAGACCCGCAAGAAATAACCGTACGGATATCACGAGGCTCAGTCATGTACTCGCGCTGTGCACAAGACAAACCCGTGATCCGAACGATGCCTCATGATTGGCCGCCATAATCCCGAAAAGCTGTTGGCGAATCGCAACGATTCCCGGACAAAAAGAAATAGAGAGCGCCCTCGGGTACCTACGGCAGTAAGCTACTACATCCCCGTTTCGTTCGTTCGTCCTGCTAGATATCACACGATGGCTAATTATGCTGGAGGAGAGAACAGGTTTTTTTTTCTTCATCTTTTTTTTTTTTTTCTTTTCCTTTTCTCCCCTGTGCGCCTGCGGTATTTCGCTCGTTGAGCTTGAGTCCATTTCCATGATTAACTAGCACATCAGCAGACATTGAAACCTTCCAACCACCCGTTGATCCAGAGAAGTGTGGGGGGGGTCCTGTGAATTACCATATCTCAAACAAACCCCGATAAACAACTCCATCCGCCGTTACCATCGCTAGACCCATGGGGGAGGGGGGGAACAATTGCCAATGATGATCGACGCTTCGCAAACATTACTCACCTGGAAGAAATTCCAGTCTCCAATAGAGTCCATCGTCCCTCGGTAGATACCGGCACCGTCTCCTAAAGGTATTATACCCAATCCCGGTATCGGGGACCAAACACCCCCGAGAGGGAGTGGTGTTTCCGGGCAAAACCCAGTTTGGGCGTGGAAAGCTTGCTGGAGTTCGCTGGCTGGTGATCGCCATTTTGTCAATTCACCCCTTCTAAGCTTATTGTGGTTAGGTGGGGTGGTCTCCGTTGCCTAGCCCGATGGCGACTTAACGGGATTTTACGGCACCATATCCCATGGGATTTGCCCTACCAAATCCACTCTGATACTTTACTACGCCTGTGTACGAGTACTGTACTTGTAAATACACATGGCATACACGCTGACGACTTTAGAGTGTGGGATGCTGGTACGGTATTTTGACTACCCTCCGCTACTGCAACCTTGTCCCGGTCCTCTCTAAGTCACCAAAGCCAAATCCACAACCCCAGGACGAGCATTTACGATACCCTACCCTCCACCACGCCCTCAAATCGCAAAACGTAACCAGTCACCCACTGCCAACTGCGTTAATACGCCATCTTCACTCCTTGTGTAAACTTTCCCCCTTCTTTCCAAACGCTCCCCTTCACCCCCCAGCAACGCGACTAAGTCATCGTAATATGAGCCTTGACCACCGGCATCTCTTATTTACAACGCACAGTACTCGTACCTTCCTTCCCCTCCATGCCATCCGCCACTAGCCCTGCTGCGGTAGAAACCAATCGCCGGGAAGACCGAGCTTACCGCGCTCTCCCCTTTCCATCAAGTTACGGCATTCGAGCACTCATAGTTCCAGGTCGGAACCTTCATAGAGGGGAGGGTGTGATGACATATATGACATATCTGTCTACAACTTGTGTGCTAAGTGGCGAGCTTTGATATAAATGTGACTGCCGGTACCGGTACTTTGATATCCGAGCACATTAGCACCAGTCCGGTTACTATCTGGTCCGAGCTCTGTCCCCAAACCCCACTATGATGATATGGTACGAGTACGAGCGTGGCCTGGTGCTATGACAGTAGTGACCCGCTGTTATTGCAATTGAGCTATTGTGCCAGGTCGGCCGGGTTGAATAGAAGGGGTAGAATCGATACTCGTACACCGAACTGAAATGAGCGAAAGACCGCATGTCCCTGCGAATAAGAGAACATTTGGGCCCAGCCACACACACTACGGGTCAATGACCCAGGCACGGAGACCTATCTGATACACTGTATACCGTCTTAATGTTCAGTTTCACTTTTTCCATCCATTTCGTTTTTCAGGGCGCTTCATCGTAGGGCAAGACAAACCGACAACCGGTGCGAAACAATTCACCCCCACTTAGGTTGCCCATGATACTTTCCTCTTACATCTTCTCAATGACAGAAACCCTCCCTCCCCCCCCTTCTATCCCTCATCCTCATTCTCCGGATCACTGCAAACCACAACAAACCAAGAGGGCAAGAAAGTATGTCCCCCACTACAGCCCCGGTCCCAGGATATCACAAAAGATGGGCGAGCAAGAATGGTTCCAGGGACCACTATCGAGATTCGCGCCCAGGCCATGTCTACAGAATGTAGACGTCAAGATATTCCAACCAACCGCCCCTTATTCGTATCGTACGGGAAAAGGAAAAAAAAGCAACCCTCCTGCTAACTTTTCCGCCCAGTTAGGATCTGCTATTTCCCCCCGGGGTGTTCTGATTAGTTGAGTTTGATAAGTCGTTATCTAGCAAGAAATGTACTGTACTTTACAGTACAACCCGCCTCTAGTCCGTACTCGATAATCTCTGCGCTTTCCACCCCCCGTGTAGGTTCCGGCTACTTACCCCCCCTCCCCCACCGAGCACCCGAAACTGCACCAGGCCTGGGCCCTGGCGGGCTTGTGCCGTGCGTTGGATGCAAAATGTACCAAGGCAGTAATACTCGAGTAGAGAGTATGGAGCAAGATGAAAATAATTCATGCAGTGTCTACAGTCCACAGAACCTACCGGGAGCCCTCCCTGAGACCCGAGAGTCCCCGGATGCGGCGACATCACATACTAGAGGAAGAGAGGATGGGCCAATTGTGATATACGACATTGCCAGTATCCGAACCCGGGTATGTACGTACTCGTTCACGTCTGCTTGCTCATAGCAATATAACACACTCACCATCGATGGTAACCCTACTTCTTACTTTCTTTCCTTTTTTCCGATAGTAATCGCTCCGGGGAGAAGGTGTACGAGTACTCGTGTTAGCCTATACCAAGCATACTAAAAGCGCACGGCCGATTTTTTTCTTGCAAAACGCTCCCTCTTTTCCAACCTTCGTATCAGCCAAGATACCCTCCGCTATCTACTCAGTGGCATTATTCCAATCCTGGAGCTCCTCTAAGACCATGCACGTACTCGTACTTCGATCCCAATAGGCGATGTTTTGGCCGCCTTCTTGGAAAAAAATAAGGCGGTGAATACAGGCTGAAATCATGCCTACATGCTTTTCTCTGCCGATACCCATGCTAGGGGTGCCTACCTGCTAGCACAGTCATTATGTACTGTAGCTTTGATATACTCGAGTACTGTGATTGTACCTGTGCACAGACTTTGATGGGGTTGGTCCCTCTTTCTATCCCCCCTTCCATGTGTTCGAGGATTAGTAGGAGTTTTGTCTTTAGGGTAGCGGTGTTACAAAACGGCGCTAGTATGAAGAGCACACACAGTTAGGAGAACCAACCAGTTCCCCTCCCCCTACTCACCGTAGGAGCACTCCAAAACGGCTTTCACTTTCGTTCTTGTATGGGTGCCGCCGTACGGGAGTGAGCAAGGAAGCAAGTTAAGGTCCGAAGGTTTCCTTGAACCGTTTTTTTACTTTATTTCGCATTTTTTGGCTCCAGCGACCAACAACCTGAACGACATGTCAGGGTTTTATGGAAATCGGACCACCTCTCCAGCAGTATGCGGGAGTGCGGGAGCTCTCATAGGCATGTCCCCTATCTTGCCCAAGCCTTTAGTTGGACCTTCCGGGATCGGGAGCATTCCCTAGTCGATAGCGGAGTTAGTATCGCCCCTTTCGGTCGATAGATCTAGCCTACCTCACAGCATCTAAGCTAATAAAACTCCAGGATTTCGCCCGCTATATCATGATCGATTTTCAAAAATAAAAATTAAATGAAGTAAACCACCAAGTTAGTTGTACAATGCGATTTATCGTATTAGGAAAAGGAGGTCTAACAATTTCTGAAAGCCGTGGAGCGGCGCCAACCATCAATTGAGGTGCTTTATGTACAGTACTTCCTCGAAAGTATAGATTTCCCTCCTTGCTTCGATTTCCCCTGTCCCTACCCCCGTTCTAATAGCGGTATCAGGGTGACATTTGTGATATATCCTCCAGAAGAGATTTCCATATGAGAAACCTTTGAGAAAATTGGTATTGCTCCGATCAGATCTGATGCCTACTTTGTCCCATTTGTGGAGAGGGGGGATTAGAGACTGGACCAGCCCTAGGACAACCGTCTTCCTGCTGCCGATTATCATTTTTTTTATAAACACGACAGATACGGCGCGCAGAATAGAGGTATGGATACTCGCAACTGCAGATTGTATTTGTAGCAGGTAGTGGTTAAAAAAAGAGAGAGAGAGAGAGAGAGAAGAGGAGAGGAGAGAAGAGAAGAGAAGAGAAGAGAAGAGAAGAGAAGAGAAGAGAAGAGAAGAGAAGAGAAGAGAAGAGATACCCCGAAAAAAATGGTAGGCGGAATGTTCAGAGAACAATAAAATAAGAGATTTATCACACGTCGGAGTTACTGATGCAGTGTTCGAGCGCTCCAGTCAAGAGGCTTCCACGGCTTTCGGTTCCAAGACAAAGGAGGAAATTTTCCTGGACAGTCGTCAACACCACCCTGTCCAAAGAAGTGCGCTCCTGTCCAAAACCCTGTAATGTGGGTTTAAATTTAATTGCATGCAGTTAAAAAAGGCTTACACACCAGTACAGACAGGGCTCTAGAAGTACGACGGAACGTCCGGTCTGCAGTGTGACCAGCGACCAATCCAACTCATGGTCAAAGCATCGCGAGGGCCTTTTTCTTTCTTAACATTGACGATTTTTAATTTTTAACATTTTGGGAGTGTGCCCTCGTCTCCTCCTCCAACCTCTCAAGTCGCACCCATCGGTAAGAGGCCTTGACGAACGGGAGGGAAAGAGAGGAACGAGAATGGATGCATGATATGGAACCTAAGATGGATGCGTGCATGGACGCATGGACTGAGGGCTCTATTGTAGCGGACGAGTAAAACGACCAACATCCTTAATGAACGAAAGTGGATCCAAACAATTCATTGGACCATCGATTATTCGCTCCTACATCAGATCAACCTACTATTGGATTCACATATTTTCTCAATTGGGCTGTTCAATCCTTTAGCTGGATGGGAACGAAGCCACGTGAGATACATCTGTTTGGGCCAATCCAAACCTAAGTTATAATCCCACCATATCCTAATATCTTAAACTGGGCCAAGTAAGAGATGAGAAGGGGAGGGAAAAAAGAGCTGCTTGCTTCGGTGGCAATACACCAGCCTCTCCCGTTATGCACATCTCCAGACACAACTGCCAGCTGCTTCTTGCAGCTAAAAAAAATAAAAAAATCCGATAACCTGATCCTTCAGAGGCTAACAAGTTCTCACGATGATCCCAATCCATCTGTGCAGCAGGCTACTCCATCTCACCATATGATACTTTATATCTAGATCATTACTGCTGCCTCCGGTTTCGCCTCCCCTATGAAACGTGAGGGATGCTTTCAAGTAGCCCTAGTCCAAAACTCTCCAGGTTAATCCGAGATCGATTGCGAAAGGCAGACAAACTGGCTGCAAAAGGGAATCCCCTTGCAAACACCAATAGCCCCTTGCTAGTTAATCTGCAGTGGACCGGCTGACATTTAAAGCGCCCACGTTTACCGCAATGGTATGGCACCGCCCATAGAGTTTTTTAAGTGTGCACTTTGAACGTGACCACCGCGCATACTGGGTGTCGGTCAGCAATGGATGCCTTGTGGTGAAAAGGGCAAGACTTATGGCAGCATCATAGACTGAGAAAAAAGGGAGAACAAGACAAAAGAGGGAAAGTAAGAAAGTGAATAAACAATTAAATTAGATTGAACACTCAAGTTTAAACTGCAACTGAGGGTATACAGATGAGCTATATTGCTCTTCCGAACTTGTACTTGAGTGACAACAATTTCTTGCCATTGTCTGTAGTCCCTTCAAGTTAGTTGTACGAGTGTTGTGCTGCACTGTACGCACATGGCGTAGTGAATTGTTAACACCCCCACGACATTCCCCCGACAATGTTCAATTGGACGGTCGCCATTCGATTTGAGGGTTTCCACCTATAGGGACAACAGCCGCTCCCGCGGGGCCCAACGGTTCTTGAAGTTATGATACTATCCGGGTAGAGAGAGTGCGGTAAGGAAGCCCTCTCCCCGACCGACCTGCTTGCACAGTACACTACACACATGCAAAAAATACACGTTAGGGGACAATGGATGGGTCGGGTCCTTTTCTTCAGGGGGTTTTTTAAAAATAAAATAAAAATAAAAAAAACTCTTCTCCCCTTCAGGGCCATAGCTAAGGCGAGTTTCCAGTCCCAGCCCTTCCATCAGGAATCTGATCTGCAAATCTAGTTTTTTTTGATATTTTTCTTTTTTTTAAAAAAAATAAAATAAGGCTTGCTGTATCCATCCTACCTATGCTCTTCTTCTACCTGTATGGTTTCCGGGAGGCACATTCCTAGTGAATGCTCATCACCATGCGCTGACCCTTGTTTGGTGGCTATGGTTCTAGCTATCCGGATCCCCGTATTCCTCCTACTTCAAAGCTAGCACACAATTCAAAAAATGGTGTCCGGGTACATCTAAAACATGGAGACTGATGAAGCGGTATCTCCTACTCATATATCATAGCTTTCTCATCCTCTTCCAAACCACTCTAACAAACAAACACTATCCCTCTATTTTCCCTATCCTTCTCGCTATCCCAACTGCTGCCAATACGGTTCCAAAGCCCCATTTCCCCCTCCAAACAAACATTTTTCCAGTTGAGCAAACAACTACATACACCTTCCATTCGCAATGCAGCTCACTCCAGACATGAAGAGTTGGGTGGAGAGTAAGATTGAAGAGCTTACTCTCGAAGAGAAAGCCTTTCTTCTATCTGGTGTTGATATCTGGAGAACACATGCTGTTCCTCGTCTTGGTGTACCACAATTAAAGGTTAGATTCCTTTCCCCCTGTTCCCCGCAATCTACAGGCCCGGGAAGCTCCTCCGAATCAAACATGTTTGTCTGTTTGTCTATTTTCTAACGCTCTATAGACTACAGATGGCCCTGTCGGGGTCAGGGGTGGTACGATGGTTGATGGAACCACTGCTGCCCTCACTCCTAGCGCTGTATCACTCTCTGCAACCTGGGATGTTGAGGTCGTGGCTGGCATCGGAGAGCTCCTTGCCACAGAGGTTCGGGACAAAAAGGCAGATATCCTACTGGCACCAACAGGTCTGTGGTCGATGCTAGCCCTAACCCTATGCCCCACCAGTACTAGCACCTGGGTAGAGTCGTTCGGCTAACGCATCCCAGTTTGCTTACATCGTTCACCCCTGGGCGGCCGGAATTTTGAATCCTTCTCCGGTGATGATCCATTCCTCGGAGGGAAGCTTGCCGCATCGTATATTAATGCGGTGGAGAAACATGGAATCGCTACAACCATCAAACATTTCGCTGCCAATGATCAGGAGACAAGGCGTTTTGTGGTTGACCAGGTGATATCGGATAGATGCCTTCGAGAGCTTCACCTTGTTCCATTTCAGATTGCTATTCGGGATTCCAATCCTTCATGTGTTATGGCCAGTTATTCCAAGATGAATGGGGTATATGCGAGCAACAACAAGCGTTTATTGACAGGTATCCTGAGAGACGAATGGAAGTTTGATGGCATAGTCATGAGTGATTGGTTCGGTGTCAACAGCATTGTTCCTAGTGTTGAAGCTGGACTCGACTTGGAGATGCCCGGGCCAGCCAGAAAACGTGGCAAGAATCTTGTGGATGCGGTAAACAAGGGTTACATGATGGAATCCACACTCAACATCAACGTTAGGAGAGTCTTAGGATTGGTAAGTTTGCTACCATCCGATGATATATACAATCCGTGCACTCATCGCGCGCGCCCCCACATTCAATCAACGTGCAAAGGAAGTTGATAGAAATCCCAACAGATCTATAAGACGGGAAAGTATAAGCACCCCCTCAAAGAAGAGGAACCTGAAGTGGCGAGCAACAGACCCGAACACCAGGCATTTCTCCGAAAAGCAGCTTCGGAAGGCATTGTCCTATTAAAAAACGAGAAGGGCCTCTTGCCCCTAAAGTTGGAAAAAGCAAAACAGGTTGCCTTTATCGGGCCGAATGCAAGAGAATCTGTTGCTGCAGGCGGAGGGTGAGTACCAATCCAAGCAATTGCATCAACGTCTTTACCCAAACCCCCCCATTCCGCCCTATACCCAACCGATCCCGAGATTTTTCTGCATAAGTGGTGTGCTTAGTGAGGACACGAAAAAACTCGGGACCCTACCAGCTAACCCTCTTTATCCAAGTTCTGCGGCTCTAAATCCCCACTACCGCCAAAATCCCCATGATTCTTTCGTCGAAAATGCCGCATCCATGTTCCCAAATCTAAAGGTTGTGCACGCAAAGGGATGCCTAGCCAACAAATGGATCCCTCTATTCCCAAAGACTTGCGTTTCGCCCAAGAACGGGAAGCATGGCATGTACATGGAGTATTTTGACAATACACTTCTGCGTGGACCGGCAGTTCACGCCTCTCACCGCGAGAGCACAGTGCTGTCGTGCTACGACAATTTGCCAAAGTCGTTTGTGCCGGGGAAGAGGTATTCATACCGCGCGACTGGGCTGCTGACCCCCAAGACCTCCGGAAGGCATACCTTTAGTATGGGATCATGCGGGCCAGGGAGACTCCTAGTTGACAAGAAGGTAATCATTAACATCTGGAACCGGACCAAGGAGTCCGAACGCTCCGAGATGTTTATGGCCTATGCCTCCCCGGAGGTGCGCCATGACCTTGACATGATTGGTGGGAAAACCTACTTGATTGAGGTGGAAGGTGTATCCAGGGAACTGGACCCCATCCCTGTACACTATACAAATGAGTTATATAGGGATGAGATCATGGACGGGTCGAGGGTAGGGTTTACGGAAGAGGTCAAGGATGATTTGTTGGGAGAAGCGGTGGATTTGGCAAAAGAGTCGGATTTGGTTGTCCTGGTTGTTGGGAAGAACATTGAGTGGGAGAGCGAGGCCTATGATATGAAGAGCATGGATCTGCCCGGTGGCCAAGACGAACTTATCCTTCAGGTACTCAAGGCTAATCAGAACTCGATCATCGTAAATCAGTCGGGATCTCCGATTACAATGCCCTGGGTTGATCAAGCGTCTACCATTCTCCAGGTGTGCACCCCCATCCTACGTCCAAGCTTATTTCAACGTCCGTGACATGTGACTAACTTTTCCAGACATGGTACCAAGGGCAAGAGCTCGGAAATTCTTTGTGGGACGTTCTAGTCGGAAATATTTCGCCTTGCGGGAAGCTCCCGGTGACCTTCCCCAAGCGATTGGAAGATACCCCGTCGTTCCACAATTTTCCGGGCGAGAACGACAGGGTGGTTTACGGAGAGGGCATCTGGCTAGGGTACCGTCACTATGACAAAGCAAAGGTTGAACCCCTCTTCCCCTTCGGATTCGGCCTCTCATACACCAAATTCGAGTACAAAAACACAAGGGTTTCATCCGAGGTATTCAAGGACAAGACGACGGTATCGGTGAACATTACCAACGTTGGAAGAATGTCCGGAAAGGAGTCCGTTCAGTTCTACGTCTCACAAACCTCAAGGCCCGGCCTGGCCCGGCCCATCAAGGAGTTGAAGGGCTTCGCAAAGGTGGACTTGAAGCCCGGGGAGACCAAGACTGCTAGTTACGTGCTAGACAAGTACGCGCTGGGGTACTATGATGAGAAGAAAAGGTCCTGGGTGGTTGACAAGGACGCCCAGTTCGAAGTTCACGCAGCGGCAAGCTCGAGGGATATAAGAGGGTCAGCGAAATTCCGAGTTTCGGGCACAATGCAGTGGATAAATTGATTTTTCCCCTCCACCTCACCTCTCACCCCCCCCCCCACCCACCTTCACTCTCTACATTCTCATCTAGGGTAATTTTTATTTTATTTTATTGTGTGTTTTCACCTCTTTGCCGTTGCGTGTTTTGTAATGAGTAACATCCGGAGAAGACTACCGGCTGGAAATTTATGACCGATCCACGAACCCATTTTCTGATAACATATTGCTTGGCACGAGATGTATATTTATCTCGATTAGTCAATTGATCAATTGATGAAAGTGACGAAACAAAACGGAAAAGACAAATCCTAGCGAAATCCGATCTAAATAACTGGGCTAAAAAGCGAAACAAGGAATATCAATTGATTTTCCCCCTCCTCCCCCCATCCTCCTCCGTACGCCACTACAATACCAAGCAACAGAAAAATAAAAAAGCGAACCGAAAACGCCCGAAAAAAAAAGGTATGATAAACAAGCAAACAAAAAATCACCATCTTGACAATTCAACCACATATAATAAACTTTGCAATATAATATACTATCCTATGCCCACCAACCCGCGTCAACCCCGCCCCATAGAAGTAGAAATCTGAAAATCCAACTTCGCCGCCGCATTCTCCAGTATCTGCGCGTCATGTTTGAGCGCAGACGAAATCGGGGAGAGGGTTTGCAGCCAATGGATTGTTTTCTGGAACAATTCCGCAAGAAGAGGCTGTGGTATCATGCTCTTTAGGTTTGGGGACTGGTAGGCTGCTTGGAGGACTAGGAGGTTTCCGAATTGCCTATAGTACGTACGTTATTTAGCACACAATCGAAAGGAGGGAGAGGTGGGAAGAGGGGGAAATACGCATGTGCTGTCCCGAAAACATTCGTGATGACAGGTCTATTCACATCCGGCGAGAAGGCGTGAAACGCCGTAGTGCTAGAAATCGCCGAATCGATACACTTCCGACAACTGGCCTCCAGCGAAACAGGCGCCAATTCCGCCCTCTCGCTCTCCCCGGCAATACTAATCCTCCTAACGCCACTACCAGCTGTATTCCCCAATGGATTGAATCCCCCAGGTGTAGTGGCGCTAGGTGAACTCTGCGACATCTCGCTGGCAGACCTTGCGGGCGAGGATGTGGAAAAGACGCCTCCGCTATTGGGGGCATTGTACACGCCGTTTCCGCCGTGGATAGCATGGTAGACGAATGGGCGGTGGATGATGTAACGTGCACCGAAATACTTTGCGCGCAGGCGGGCGGCATTGATATCTGCGGGTGGTGGGTCGGACTCTTCCCAACGAAGGGCCTCAGGGAGGTGAAGCTTCCATTGCTCCAGTTGGAAGTCAAGCTCTCGGGCGATCGCAAGGGAACGGGGAGAGTCGAGTTTTACTTTGTCTAAGAGATTGTTAGTTACCTCCAGAGATATGGGGGGGGGGGGCTAGCCTCTTTTGTAGAGAGACGTGTGGGCTCGGTTAAGCAGCTTTCTCAAGGCAATCTGGGCGAGGTAGTACATCCACATCGATGGGTTGTCCTCATTTGTACCCTCTGTAGATGAACTGTCCGTAACAGAGCTCGGAAGAGGCATTGAGTCCTCCAGTCGCGATATCCCACTCGGCGGAAGGTCAAGTTCAGCAAGGACATCACTACCATACATAATCAGCTATCACCCAAAAAATGAGCGATATAACGTTAGAGCAAACCTCTCAAGCTGAAGACAACTCCAGAAAGCCCGAAGAATCAAATCCCTCCTCAACTCATTGCTCTCACCCTCCAACCTCCTATCACAGTTAGACCCTACCGAGACCGACCGACAAGACAAAACAACTCACATCCTAACCAAAATCTGGCACCCCATGCATGCATAATTGATCCACTTCCAACTATCCAATACTCTCCCCAGCTGTCCCCAGTACAATCCCGCCAGAAGGCAGATCTGGACATTCTCCAACTCGTTACCTCCTGACAGAACCCCCATGATATCTATCGCTTTCACGAAATATGCTAGTCCGGGAATTACGTCAATATTCTTAAGTTCTCGACCTTGTCTGCCCTGTAATCTCCCAGAGTGCTGCTGCTGTTGGCTATACGAGTGAAAAGGCGAACCCGCTCTATGATAAGAAGAACCGGGGGTCTTAAACGGGGGCGTAGTAGTCCGGAAACCTGGGGAATTGGGCAGCGTGGATAATGGTCCCGGGATTGGTCTTTTATGTGAACATATTGCTCCAAGGGCCATTACCAAGAGTACTAACGCCGAGTGTAGGGTCCTGGGGATCCGCTGTGGAGAAGGTCCCATCCCCTGGGAGGAAGGCATCGAGTGAGTTGGCCCGATTCCGGATATACTCCGCTTTCTCTTCGCGGAAGAAGAGTTCCTCCTATGGAGTCCTAGGGACAGCATAGACCCATCCCCCTCAGCAGTGGATACCAACCCTAGCCCTACATTAGGCCCAAGAGCACCAGAGTAAGGAGTGGTAGGTGAGGCTGCAGACACAGACGCCACGCGCTCAGAAAACAAAAACACCATACTAGTTATTGTGGCCTTATCCACAACAGGGTGTAAAATATGAATATTCGCCAGATAACTATTCAGGAGCGTAAGGACAGTCTGACGGTCCAACTTCAGTCCGCCCCCGGTTGTCAATCCACTCCCTGTATATCCGGATGGCTTCCTCTGGGAGTTTGTATAATCTCCGGCTTCCGGTAATACATCTTCCATCGGTGAATCCTCACTGCCCCTCCGTGATCCCTCTACGCCCTCATCAGCCCCAATCCCACTATCCCAGACAAATCCCGTATCATGGTCATCCATATCCTCGAACATCGACCCGGGAGAATCGAAACCCTCTCCTCTTCCATACACACGTAAGGGGCCCCTCCTCTCCTCTTTCTTCATTACATAACCCTCGTTTGCTAGAAACTCCTCGTCAATATTCTTCCGGATACTTGGCCACCACATGAGCTTATGTGCAGCAGTAGTATGCTGCACTGGGATAGTGAGCTGTTCATCCTCCTCAAGCGGAACCTCAGTGGGGTTGCCGGGACGTGGGTGATCCTGAACAGAGGCACCGCCCGATGTAGATTGAGGATAAGCCTGCTGAGTTGTAGGGGTTGGGGGATGAAAAGGCGAAGTGCTCTGTAAACTTTGTAGAGATGTCTCATTAACAGCCGTGGCCTCCTTTGGTGCGGTAGCCCCATCAACAACCCTATTACCACCCGTAGGAACCGCAACTGTAGTTACTTCTCTGCCGGAATTAATCGAATCTAACAGAGCTTCCACCCTCCCTAGCCGCTCCAAAATCTGGAGTAATGTCCTATCTTGCCTTCGGGGAGGAGAAGAATGGATTTAGTAAGACCTGAAAGTTACTAGGATATCAAAACTCACTTCGGTGGTGGTACTTCTCGATAGACGCAAGCAATCTGTGACTCCTTACAGAAGCCACAACTCGGCCTTCCTTCGTCGCATTTAGCCTTTCTAGCTCTACAGGCGTCACACGCCTTAATCAAGTCAGTCCTGTGAAAATTCCACACCTTAAACCAAGCAAATGGAAAAAAAGACGCAAAAATGAAACCTTCGGTCCAGTCAGGTAAAAGTAGGTATTAAACCGAAATACGAAATGATGTAGTTGGTCATAAATACCGGTACGCCCATAAGCCCAGTTCCACCAACCGCCCAAAATTCAAGGGGCGGTGCTCTTCTGGAAGACCAGCTTCAGGGTTTCTTTTCTTTTTCCTTCTCCCCCTTCTTCCCTCCACAAATGCGCATTCCCAGTTGTTTGGTGAGGTCACATGATCGCACGTATGCATGAACCAATATTCGGACCCCCATTGAAACAGTCTCACAAAAGCCCTCAGTACTCCGGAGCAGTTGTCCGCTTTTGGACTTAGAGACACCATGTCTCACGAAATGAAATATTTAAGGTAAAATAAGTGTGAAAATGGGAAAAAGAAATGAAGATACATACTTGTGCAGCTCTAATTGCCTTTCGACGCGGAGGGTAGGTAGTCACCACATTCATTTGCGGATTTCCCATCATTGTTCCCGGAATACCACCAACAGTTGGTGTTGTAACAACGGGGCTTGTAACGCCAGATGTCGAAGTAGACATATGTTGATGGGACATCATCTGTGTAGGGGTTGTAGAGAAGCCGCTAGTCATTATAGGGCTAGGGCCTGGAGGTAGAGTTGCTGAGCTCCCCGGTGACGTGCTATCAAATAAGGCCGGGGGCCGATTATCACCGTTGGCAGAGGCACCACTTGAATTCCCGGGATGGGACAAATCCTGCTGGCGTTGGCCCTGCATTTGTTGACCGTAATACCCGGATGTGTCTGGCTGATAATGAGAAGGGTGCCCGGAGGAGGAAGAATTGCCAGAGAGAGAAAAGGAACGAAGTTGCTGAACTTGTTGCTGGTCGGTCGCATTTCGTAGGTGCAGTGTAGACCCGGTAGGGGGAGGTGTTGGTGCAGGACCGTCCATGGAAACTTGCTGACCTTGTAGTTGGCGGTGATGTTGAGTTTGAAAGCCGTTATTATACCCGTGGTTGGGGGAGGGGCCGGAACTATGTACAGGAGGACTCGTCTGCGGTGAGACTGCTACAGCTGATTTATTAGCGAGTGGATGCCCAGGATGCTGCTGCTGCTGCAATGTACCATTCTTTCCGCCAGCTACTGTCCCTGAGGGAAGTGTGGGGATTGAATGCGATCTCGAATGTGACAACGTATGCTGAACCGGTTGCGGGGGCGTTTTCATCTGCCAGTCGGCAAAACTAGCCGTTGGCGATGTCGTAGAATACGCGGAGGAACTTTGTGAAGGGAAATGCTGTGAGTGGGTGTGATGTATCTCATGAGAAAGGGGCGAGGACGACGATCCCCAAGATTCCAGACGGGGTCTCTTCGAGTCGGAGTTGGTTGCAGACATAACAGAATGACCGATTCGAAACCTGCTGAACTATTTATTTAACAAGTCATCCGGAGAGGAAACCCGGAGCAGGTTCAATTAATAACTCGGACGAAGCGAGTGAAACCTGCCTTACTAGGCGGGGTGGGAGACCTGTCAGGTCTCAAGTACCATTCGCAATTAGAGCTACCGTATCCCAGACGGGAACCTAGCGAGCCAGGAGAAACTGACCACACTCCGAAGGAGCGTACCCGTGGGGGGTTGACCGAGACCGCGGGAAGAACCAGTGGCGGTGTATCCGTATTATTATTATTATTATTCCCCTTCCACGTTTGGAAAGGCAGAACAGCGACCAACCCTTTCAGTCAGCCGGATAGAGATGAAGACACCAAAACTATGTTCGTTGGTATTTAAATCTGAAAAGTTAGGATAATGAGTTTCCCTCCTATAAAGTAAAGTAAGTTCAAGGTCTTTAGTGCGCTTCTTGCTATTTCTCACTTCCTCACACTCCGCCAGTAGTGGTTCGGTGATCCCAAACAGTCCCAGTCTGTAGTTGGACCGGGACCCAAAAACTCAGACTCAAATTCAAAGAGGGAGAAAGTTGGCCAAAGAGCCGCAAGGCAGCGAAAGGGGTGCAATCGTACCAGTATAATATTGTTGTAATAGATGTATTAGATAATGCCGGCAGAGCAAGTACAGTCAAGCATTACTTCTGTTTAAGTTTTTTTCTTTTTTAATCGGCGGTCGACTCGCAGGCCAAAAGGACAAGAGGATAGGCAACGTGAAGCGGGAAAATCCGCAACTATATCAGAATTGGCGGTGAATTAATGGATTCGCGTCAACATGGTCGTCGCTGATCTACCGGAGTGCATCGTTCGAAGAAAATCCCATACCGTCATGTACACTTCTTGAGCGAAGAGAGAGAAACGAAAAAAAAAACAGTGGGTGGTCTTCGTTGGAACTTGCGTGCCACCGGTGTGAAGTTGGTTTCTCTAATGTGTGGTGGAAACTTAGAGGCAGGCGGTTACCAATGCAATTCCCGGTACTCGAGTATGCTTCACTCAACTCTGCACCCGTTGTAGGATATTCCAAAGTGTAACCCAAGCCACCGAATACCCAATGTGAGGGTAAGGATGGAACTCTGTGAACCCAGGTGCGCCACCAAAGGAAAAAAAAAAACAAGGGAGATGACCGGAAAGGGGAGGGGGGGGGTCAGGATCCTGCGGAGATGCAGTGGGGGATTTCTCCCTTATTTTTTCCAAAACCACAAAAAGCCGCCGGCTGCCAGGTTTGAGTCGCGGCGAAGCTGAGGGTGGTTTCAATGAAAAAAATAAAATATGGAATAACCAAAGAGAGCAGAAGAAACAAGGGATTAATACCAATCAAGCAAGCCCAGGCTCAAGATGACCTTGAGGGGAAGTATGTAGATGATGGAGGTATGCGGTACTGGAGGTGATGAGGAAAAGGGTGTGTGGTGTGGGGTTGGCGAGGAGAAATGGATAAGGTACAGTACCGGGCACTGCACTGTATGATACGAGTCCTATGGCAATACTGGAACAAAGGTGTGAAAGACAACCAGGATCACCTAAACCCAAGTGATAGCTCCGTCTTATGTATGTGGGGGGAAAACAATGAGGAGAGGTCTGAGAGCACGGGAGTCAGAGTGTTCAGCGGAACAGCGTCGAAGAATGTGCCCAAACTGGGCTGCCGGAGTGGTGAAGAAAGGAAGGGGGGGGGCACAGTTGGACACTCGACTACCATATTATAGGGAGAAAGTCCTGAAGCTCAAACAGCATTACTACAAGCAGCACCGCACAGAGACACCAACAACAGGATGGTTTTTCTTTCCCTCTTTCTCTCTCTCTCTTTTACTCCCGGTCAGTGCGTACCTCCGAAGATACCGGCAACCATAAGTGTTCGCACAATACCGTGTCAATCGCCGTGTCCTTGTCTATGCCCACTTTCAACCCGTTAATAGGCCTGACCAATTGTCCCTCTTGTCTCGCAACTCAGCAGTAGCTGTGCGAAAGAGATATCCCGAGTGAACAGTGGTCAGAGTAGGAAAAGCTACTCAGACCCTCAGACGGTTACTGATACAGCCACAGTATATCCCAGACCACGACTCCCCCGTTCATCATACCTGGCAGCCTAATAATGCTAAACTTGAGATGAGCTGGACACGATGTTCCCCCAGCTCTTCCCGCCCTCCTCCCCGCGATAAAGTTTGAGATAGAGAGCGGCCGGTATCGGGCCACCGTCGTCATTGTCCCTCTAACTACGACATTGTGCAGCTTGATACTGGAGAACAGTGGTTGTTGGTTGTTGGGCCAGAAGGCAACACAACAATAGAAAACGAGACAAGGCGATGGCGATTGTGCGGATACCTACGTGGATTACCTGTTACTCTTGGCCCACTTCCGCTGTGAACAGAATGCTTGGTCCTCCTCCTGCCCCGATTCCAGTCGAACCGTTTGGGGACGGAGGAAGGGTTGAACTCTATCACGGGTAGCCACCGGGAGAGCAAAAGTATACATACCGGTACAGCACTCGTATCACACGGGGAATACGAGTAGACAACTCCACCACCTGCCACCACCACCACCATCATCACCATACTGAATGTTAGCAGCCCAGAGAAGCTTCACCTCCCCCATCCATCATTCCATCCATCCATCCGTCCATCCACCCATCCATACCCATCCATACACAATTCATTTTTACATCCACACGCTTCACACTTTCGCTTGAGTTCATACAGCCAACTACCTCCTACATACAGCTCACACTCGCCTCCTCTCATTTCTTGATTAGATCTCATACTGCTGTATTATAGTACTGTACTGTACCGGTACTCGAGCACTCTCGAATGAGCGATCAATTCACAACGTAACGTTAGATACCCGACGCACCCGGCGAGGGGGCTCATTACTCAATTCCATCGTAAATTCCCTTCCTTTTCCTGTACCCCTTACCTCGCCGCTATTCTCGCGTAAGATGACATCCCCTCCGCCACCTCCAAAAATCATCACAACCTCCGAAACCACTACCACCGTCATCATCATCAACCACCATCACCGTCCGGAATTGGCCACAACAGAGCAAGACTTTATTTATTCCCCGTCAGAACTTCCCGTACCCTAAATCTGCAGGATTATCGGAAGAAAAGAAAAGAAAAAAAGGGAAAGAAAAAAAGGAAAAAGAGATATTATAGAACGGTTCCAGAGGGATCCAGATACGCGTAGAAGGAAGGAAGGGAGAGAAAAAACAAAGCGAATATTCCTGTTTACACTTCACCATCACAGGTCACCCGCCGTTTTTACCATGAGCAGAACTACGTCAAGGAAAGCGCATGCGTCAGGTTGCAGACCGAAGAGCAGGTGATTCCCCTTCCCTCCCCAGTCCATTGAGTGAACAACTGAACGGTCAAGCGCTCCCTTAACAGCGAATTCTTTCCCACCAACCCCCGCAAAGCTATGTATCAAGAAATTAGTCTGTGCACCCCGCTCTGTGTGGGGTACATGGCTACCGAGCCCAATTTAATCAGTCATCCATCCATTCATTCATTCATTCATCTACTCATTTATTCGCTCGCATCCATTTCCACACACACACATGCCGTACCCTAACTTCTATCAACTGCTTGAGCTCGAGTGCTCGAGTCTCGAGGCCACCACACTTCAGTGATGCTGTGGTAACTCGCATAAGTCTTCTACAGGCAGTCAGGTACCGGTACTCGTGCAACGTGTGCAACACATGATACTTGTAATAACTTTCCCGAAATGAGGGAACCAAGCGAGTCTCCAGCCCGGTCACCCATCACGCTGTCATAAATCCTTGCCTCTCTACAAGTACTCACCTCACGCTGCCCAATACGGTACCAATATGATGACTACTCGGGCACGGCAGCGGCCAACTTAATTAAATACTCAAGCGCCGTTTGGTGGTGCGAGGGCGACCCAACCATGCTGTATCCACCAGATACAACCCTGTGTGTGCTACTGTACACAGCACCACCCTTCTTCCTCAGGTACAGTACAGGATTTAAGACTCCACCTCATTCAATTGAAAGGATTTCGACTCTGGTATCGGCACACTTTTGATATGTAGACCGCTCGTTCGGCTTCGCGCCTGGCCGCAGCAAGTGCCGTGAGAGCACCCCGATGTCTCACTCCTTGTACACCCAGTACGAGTACAGCCGCATCCGCAAGTTCCCATGCCCTTCCATGTACTCGTACTCTATCACCCGCTCTTGGAAACGCTTCGCTAGCCCTCCCTTCAGACCATCCAGTAGAACAAATTGTGATAAAATTTTTACAATGTCCCGAGAGACATATCCGAAAACAACTGTATGGAAAATTCTCTCGCCATCCTGTTGTTAATAGCTATCGCTCTCGAGGTACTGCGCAAAGGGATGGTATGAGAGCTTTACGGACATGGCTGCAGGAGCATAGCACTGTACTTGTACAGTACGAGTACAGGTACCGGTACTGTGCTCGTACAATACCACTGTTCCTCAGCAGCCCCTTCCAAATATCTAACTTTACGTATCGGTACTTTGTTTATCCAAAGGCCAACAACAAAACACGAAAAATATTTTTCCTCGGTCAACCTTCTATCCCCGCACTTGTACTTTTTGGTTTCCGATTCTTCCATAAAAAGCAATTCCCATAGAGCAGGGATAGAGCTCGTGGAATGAGCTTCGGGAGGGGTAACGCGTGATACTCTCTGCCCTCCGCTGCTGCGAGGAATCTCGATTGAAAATATTTGCAGAAAACTTTTATGCACTTGCGGTCGCCTCCCGATACAAGTAAGGAGTTGTGGCAGCAGCCATAAAAAGTACCGTGCTAGACTTTCGGCTGTCCCGGCTAGCTTGCTCCAATCAGAGCTCTACATCCTTGTCCCCGTGTTGGGCGCATACCAGCAGGATATGTCCCGGTACAAGCAACCTTAACAATACCGAAGTCGCTCTTGAATATTTCCTGCACCCTGGAAATTTCAATCTAGGTCAAAGTCATTTGCTGTATCATACATCAGGGGTTTCGCTCGAATCCTTGTGCTCTCTTGCAATCATAATGGGATATCATAAATCCCATTATGACAGCCCAAATTTTCTGCTTCGGCATTTGGGCACGTGGGATGTTGGTGGTTAAGGATCAACTGCTTGGACCAAGATCAACGTTTGATTGATTCCCTGGTTGGAGCTCCTTGAAACAGAATACCGCTATGGTGAATACGGTGAACCACTGCGCTGGAGTGTGATGTTATATCACTCTGCGCCTCGTCCCTACTCCGTTTGCGCCATAGACGGCACTTTTCTTGAACAAACAGCCGTGGTGGAGTGGTTGAAGTTATCGGACCAGCTGTACTCAACTCAAACCTTTCCAATAGTTCCTCTTTTTTGCATGTCAACTTCGCCCCGACAAATCAACATCATTTCATTCTAGTCGATCGGTGCAAGGGGCACGATCACACGAATCGTGAGTGCCCAACAGCGTTAGGCAACAAACATCAACATGTCTTTAGAGACCATCTTCGCGCATCGCATTTCCGTGATATCGACAGTCGACTCAGTACTCGAGCAGGTCAACATGATCTTTAACACGATCTGCTGGGGCGCCTTAGTGCCCCCACAACTAAAAGAGCTTCTAGATACTGATACTGTCCTGGACATAATCTTTTGGATCGATATCATTTTAACCACCTAAGTGTGAGACAACTCTTGCGAGGTGGCTAGCCCCGGATGATCTCCGGCTAATACCATAGAACGCCATCCCTAATGAAAAGCTGGTTCTGACCCAATCATGTGTGCGGGACAAGCAATAGTGGGGCCCGGTACTTCATCGGTCGCGCTTCGATGCCGTATCCCACGATGCATGGACTAAACGTTGCCTGCAAAGCCGCGATGAGCTGACTTCCCAAGTCCAATATTGTACTTGCACAAGCACTTCGCCAATGCAAAAATACCCTGCCGTGAAAACCGACATAATTGAGAACCGGAATAACTGAGAATCTCGCTTGGAAGCTGGAGTTGCCACTCCTAGCAAGCTTAGTTTAGTTGTATTTTCCTCTTTGCTTGTCCCAATCGAGGGCCGAAAGATATCAAGCAATTGAGTTTATCCCAAATATCCCAGCCTGGCTCTAGCCAGCAAAACACAA